ACACCTCAACACGCCGAAACGACCTTCGATGCGTACGTTCAGATCCATATTGAAGAGTTTCTGATGGTCAGTTTATTATGTGCTGGCTTCGTCAGTATTCTAAAAAACTTTGGGCAGTTTTTAATTTTATTTTGTAAATTTCGCAATTGATATTTGTGGCCACAGTGCACCATTGGCCATCAGTTGTGCCTATTCAGAATATTTACATTTTTAGATAGTTGGGCTAATAGCAAGCAGCATGAAAAGCAAATTACAATCCAGCCAAAGCAGAAGAAACAAAGCTGAAGTGACGATAAATCTGACAGTATGAGACACAGAAGAAGAGAAAAGTCTTTTGGTTTGCAATTGGGTGATTGTCAGAGGTTCATCTGCATTAAAGGGTTACGTAAGGATCGCCATGATTAATTTTGATGAGCAGTTTAGACTCTAAATCGCATGATTTTTAAGACAGACTAGCATGAGGCTTTACCCAAATGAATCGAAAATAAAAGAGGTTTTCTAGGAATTAATTTAGAAGATTTGTGGCTTTTCCATATTTTTTATCTTACATATACATACGTAAGTGCACAAGTCACAAAAAAGTCCATTTTACAATCAGGTTTCGGAAAACAGAGTCCTCTATTCCGTATGTACGTACGAATGTGACCCCGAAAAATAGTAAAAATATACTCAGAAACGGTCAAAATGGATATTTCGTTTGATATATGATACTCAAAACTTTTCGCCATTAAAATACTTCCTTTACTTTGTGCAGTGGAACCTCGAGATATGAGCACCTCTAGATGCGAGAAATTCGAGATACGAGGAAAGTAGCCAAACATTCGTCTCTGAATACGAGCAATGACTCGAGTAGCGAGCCAGGCTGTTGGTATGCATGTCGACTCGGGGAATAGCTTCGTCAGATCACTCGGTGTGCTTTGATCCACAAATTTATGCGATTTAATTTTTTTTTACATTTAACGTGAAAATAAATATTTCACGATGCCTCCCAAGAAGATTGTTGCCTCAAATAGTTCTGCAAAGAAAAGAAGGAAGTCATAGCCGTTGAAATTAAGAAAGAAATCCCAGATAAACATAAACGTGGCGTACGAGTGATGGAATTGGCGAACACTTATGGCCGTTCGACATCGACGATATGCACTATTCTGAAGAAGGAAGAAATTAAGAAACTTGATGTGGCCAAAAGAGTTACCGTTATTTCCAAGCAGCGTCCAAAACTCCTAAAAGATGTTGAGAAGCTATTGTTGGCGTGGATTAACGAGAAGCAGTTAAAAGGGGTTCGGTGTCGGAAGCTATCATTTGCGCTAAGGCTAAGAATCTGTACTTGGACTTTCACCGAAAAACACCGGGTACGTCGACTGAAGATGAGATGGTAATAAGATTTTTGGGGGTACGAAATGGATTAACTGGATTTCCATTATTTTCAATGGGGAAGTTTGTTTCAAGATACGAGAAATTCGCTATACGAGCTCTGCTGGAACGAAATTAAACTCGTATCTCGAGGTTCCACTGTACAAGAAAGAAAAACAAATAATCAAAACGAAAAGAACTAAGAAAAAAAAAAAAAAAAAAAAAGAAATGTACATTTCCCTTTGTAGTGATTGACTTCCTTTTTGTTTAAATTTTGTGATTGATTCAAGCAAAATATCTGCCAATATTCCCTCTTGTTTTTTTTCCTTTTCATCTTATTAAGTTTCTTTAAAAAGCTTTTTCCCTCAAACCTGTTTATGAATAACGAATTCAAAGACCAAACAACACAAACTCAGCGTTATATTTTTACAAAAATTTCACAGGACCTAGTTTTTTTGATGGTTTTACACCGAACACCATCCTCAGCTGCACAACCGCAGATGACAGATAGGAAAAATGATTAGATAGAGTAAGAAAGCCTGGACAAGAATAAAGCAGTGCGCCATCTATTGGTGAACAAACTAAAACATAATTTTTCTAAAAGCCGAAGCCAAATTGGATTGAATAGATCGTGAACTAACGAAATTTGTTAGAAGGGAAATGCCGCTAAACTCATTCTCCAATGGAAGAATGTTTTTGAATAATTTTTGGCATGAACTTTTGTTAGGGAGCACTTACGCAGAAAAGCCGGTAAATGTAAACATCGCCAAAAATAGTGATAATATTTCAAACCTGGTAACCCAATGGATTCCCTTGTTCCAGAGGTAGCATCCGTTTCTCTTACGTTCTTTTTGGTTCCTTACATTGCTGTTACATTGTTCGTAATTTTGCACGTTGTAATATCACACTCATCGCTAGTCTCTCATGTGTAAATTATTCTTCACTTATTTACTAGTATTTTGTCTGATTTTTATGCTACCTTTCCTGAATTTTTTTAACAATGAATAGATAGAATTATTTTCGTTTAATTAAGGAAATTGTCGGAGACAAATGCTTATCTGCAGTTGTGCATCTCAGAAGGATAACTGCCTTCATCAAAAACATGTTCACAGCAAACAACAGATCAGCGGAGATTCTGATGCCGCTCATTAAGAAACACGTGGCAAATGGAACAACTTTTATTATGACTCTGATGAATGGCGGGCACATTGATTTTGCGGCAGGCATGGGTATTATGTGCATCAAACTGTTAATCATTCCACAAATTTCGTAAATCCGGCAAATGGTACACACACCCAGGCCACAGAATCGAATAGGCGGCCTCTGAAAATAAGATTACTAACTAAAAATAATAATAAAAAAGAGATAGAAAAAGGGAAAAGAAGAAAGAAAAAAACGGTCTTTAAAATTAAGGAACATCCAGCTGTTTTAAGTACTGAAATACCTATATCGGCATGAAGTTAAACATAATAGCAAGATCCATTCACGGAAAATTTAAACGCATTTAAAGGTTATATTCTTTTAGGGTACCGTGTTTTCTCGAAAATAAGACTGGTCTTGTATTAATTTTTTTTTATTGCAAAAAGACATGCTAGGGCTTATTTTCAGGCTATGTATTATTTTTCATGCATAATAATTAACATTTCTTCATGTTTAAGAAACACATTTCTCCAGGTTCAGAATATACACTTATTAACTTTCAAGAACCATTAAAAAATGAACAAAATAATATTTACTTTCCTTCAATATACAGCCCATAGTCGTTCCTTTGGTTCTGGAACATCGTTATAAAGCTCTAAATCCGAATATTTCGGGCTTTTTTTTTTTTTTTTTTTTTTTTTTTTTTTTTTTTTTTTTTTTTTTTTTTTTTTTGTTTTTTTTTTTTTTTTTTTTTTTTTTTTTTTTTTTTTTTTTTTTTTTTTTTTTTTTTTTTTTTTTTTTTTTTTTTTTAGATCTTATTTTCTCTAAGACCATTGGTCCTGGCAATAGCTGTTGAGCATTAGAACTCTTCTCAAATGAGTTCTTCTTGTCTATATATCCTGCTCGTAAGGCATTGGCAACCTAGTCCGTTATTTTTTTCGAATGCAATCTTCAACCAAGTAACGACCTCTTGTAGCTTAGGCTTCACGTGTAGTCATAAATTTCTGGCTTGTTTATTGCAATATCAAGAATTCGGAGATGTACAGTCATTCCTGCGGGAATCATTATTTGATCAAGTCATCTTTCTGCAAGGAAGTTCTCCATAGTTTTAGAGCGGTGAGGTGCTGACAGAATCCCACACTAGCACACTTCTTTGGCCCATACCACAAAACAAATAGTAGAAATTACCATGGGAATTTCTTCCCATCCTCTTATCTTACTTTTAATATCCTGTCAATTAACTGTATCCTAGACCATTATCTTACCATCTGCCCACTTACCAGAGAACACGGCCTTGAATTCCTAGTAACTATACACAAGCCTTCTGCAAGTTTATGGTAAAACAACGTTATCTGGTGACAAAGATCACTCAGATTATTGACAGCTTGGAAAACTCGGAGCTAACTTAAGCCTTGTTATAAAAGTCTTTTTTTTTTTTTTTTTTTTTTTTTTTTTTTTTTTTTTTTTTTTTTTTGTTTTTTTTTTTTTTTTTTTTTTTTTGCGGGCCATTGATTGTTTACATTTGAAACAGGATATGATTTGTCCGCCAATCTAGAGAACTTAGCTTCGCAACAACAAAGATAACCCTTCATTTATTATTTAAATCATGTTAATCCTTCTGAATTTTCGAGGAAATAAGCGTTTAAATTATTCGTAATTTTAATATAGATTTTGTTTTTATGTTTTTTGCCTTATCGCGAAGTGAGAACTGAATTAATTAAATGAGAACACTCAATCGTCTGTGAAAATACTTTTTTTTTTTTTTTTTTTTGTTTTTTTGCTTAATTTTTTTATACATCTTCTAGCTTTATTAGAGTATTTATAGACTGTGGCAACGATTAGATAATTCTATTCTTAAATGATATAAATTTGTGATTATGAGTTATATATGAACGAAATATAATAACTGTTTATAAAGTGAATCTAAGCGCAAGAGTGTCGCTATGGTAACAAATACTAGAGTTAATTTTAAAGATGCATTTATTATTTGGTTATTGCGCTGTCGGCGAAGTAGATTTAATTACTCCAATAATTAAAATGAATGCAAGAAAAAAATGCGTATATTAATTCCAATACAAGGAAGTCATGTGTGTACAAAACATCAGATTTTTTTTTTTTTGTCTTTGTTCATGATGGTGTTTTTTTTTTTTTTTTTTTTTTTTTTTTTTTTTTTTTTTTTTTTTTTGTTTTTCTTTTTTTTTTTTTTCCCATACAGTTTTTTTTTATATCACTTTTGCATTAAAAAGAGGAGAATACTTTTTCTGAAAGTGTAAAAACATAACATTCTATCCATGATTTATTTACATGAGCCATTTTGAATTCAAAAAGTTTTTGACTGCAGCATACAACGATTTATTCCTTAATCTAAAAGCTGTTGCCAATTAATATTTTATACTTTATTAGTTTTAGTCACTTGCTTAATATTTCTCAAAAGCGTGCACGAAAAGCTTTGTTATGTAACCATCTACTAATTATGCTGAATTTTTTCTTTTGATACTTATTCATTTTTGCTTTCAGAAATCTTTTGGAAGTGTACCATTTCAGATCTGTGTTCACCATTAGCCTGGCTGTGTTTGTCCTTATGTATTTGAATATCATTATTTACTAATTTTTTTATTCCCAGAAGTAAGTATCAAATAATTTACTATACAAATAGTTCAAATCCGCCTTTTTTCGTTTCTAATTAGAGCATCATTCAAATGTTCACAGTTGTTTTATTTCTTATTTTTTAAATGTTAGATGAAAAATGTTGAATTTTTTTGTTCAAAATATGAAACAAATTTATATATTATTTATCATTTGAAAAAAAGGTCTTTACGCTGACTTTTCCCAATGTGCACCTTAGCATCAGCTTTTAACAGATTCTTTACGACTTAAATAAAAATTATTAAAATAGTGAATTTAGTTTTTAGTTATTAACCAAACGCTAGCAGTTTTTCTTTTTCATAAAAAAAAAATTCTAAATAATAAATTTAAGTCGTAAATTACAGATTTTATTCTTATTTATCCCATTCGCCTAAAAATAAGTTTATGTCTTTTACCTTAAATTACTTTTCTGAAAAACATACCGGTTTTATAAACGCAGCCTAAGATTTAAGAAATGTAATAAGATAATTTATAAGGTTTAGATACAGGTACACTTAGAAATGAGCGGAAGAGCAGGTATAGTCTATTGGTTGTGAAGAGATTGCACCATCGGTCGTGCAGGTATAGCCCTTCAGCACTATCTGTGCAATTCCGCCCCAACTTTGAGGAAGAACATCCCGCAGGGCGGTCCGCTACCAATCAATCTCTCAAAAGGAGTTTCGGCTCATTGTGTGCCCCCTTGCCTTGTTCCCTTACCGCACAGACTCTATACGCTTACAGACATCCACGCTTTTTCCGGGGTGTTCTTCAACTTAATTTTCATGTGTTACAGATTGCATATGATGCAATAACGTCTGCAATTCCCGAAACGTAAGCAAGATCGTCAATGTTTCAGCTCGCTTTGAAGCTATTGCATAGGAGTCATTGCCCACTATGGTGCATTTAATGACGCATATAGACGTGTTAATTTAAAGATAAAGCTTTTGCACAGATGTTTATTTCAATGAATTTATTTAGACCATTTAAGTATCCATTAGGAAACACTCCTAATGGATACTTAAATGGTCTAAATAAATCTGTTTATTGCGGCGCTATTTCCATAAGTGAGGGGGCATAAGTGAGTGCAGCATCTTACAGCTATGCAAATGTTGTAGTTTCAGGCTACAATTCGCTGAAAACTTCCAAGCCTACTAAATCGCAATGAATTATTTAATCGCGGCTCTGCTAGGTCTCAAATGGCATGGACTGATGCTGCAATAATTTAGAGACTCGGAGCAACAGATCGTGGAACTGCAATCCATAAGTATCTGTGCGCTTGGGGATCGTACGGTAAAAACAAAAGTCCTTATCACGTAAACATTTCATATAGTTCTTTTCTGTAGTCATTTGTTATCTCTTTAGTGAATTTTTCACTGTATTGAACATGTTATTGTTTACTGTCTCCCCCCTCTTCAGTAGTTTTACTTATATTATTTTAGATATGTTACTTTAATTTTCAAAGGGCATATTGATAGTACTGACAGTAATTCACATACTCATTCCAATGCATAACAAATGAACAGAAATTACAAAGAACAAATAAGTAATTCACATACTCATTCGCTCTTTGTCATCCAATTCCTCTTACAGAGGAATTCCTCTGTAAGAGGAATGGGATGACAAAGAAAACAGTAGTCGGTAATTATATACATTAAACTACTCCATTTAAATATAATGCGGATTGTTATATTTTTTACCCTGCATTCTATATGATACAAAAAATGACTTGAGTATTACGACCATCATATGAACCCAGGTGTTTGAATGGCATAAATACTCTTCGGAAAGGGAACTCTGTGCAAGATTGAAACACAAACTTCGTTTAATGAATTTTTACTTATAGCTCTCACAAGTACCAAGCATTTCAAGCTAACAAAATCAAATCTGAGTGCAATGTAGTTGTAACACGTTGCAATGTAGTTTCTATAAGAATATAAAAAGGCCAAGAAATGGGCTAACAATAATATTTCATTGCTAGAACTCTTGAACTGTTTAAATGGAGACTGGAGAATTTCTTTGCGAATTATTTGGCATGTCTGTCTATTCTATGTATGTTTTAATATTAAGACATTTCTAGGTGGTGAAAATCTTAAACATTCGGAGAAAACCATTAGTTTGATCCAAAAAACTTCCCAATTAAAAACTCTGCAGCACTTTTCAGAAATAGTTAGCCTTTTGGAAACCGTAAGCCACATTATTTGCTGGTATCTGGTTGCAGGCTTTAAGAATAACAACAACAAAAATTAATAAGCAGTATTGTTAAAAACATCGGATGTTCTAAAATTCATTAACTCGTTTCGCAGGATTTAGGTAATAAAAACTGAGATTTGAGGCTGCACGATTACTTGTCAGTTTTATTTAAAATCATTGGTATTTTTGAAAATTTTACATTTTATCTTTTTCACTTTTTAATAAGCTATTTCATACGACTCTGAAAAACGTTTGGAATTTCATTAGATTTTATCAAATAAATCTTTTGCATCCCTCCCCCCTTTTTTTTTTGGTGGAAATTTAAAATCAGAAAACTTAAATCATTTCATTTTTTTCTTTAAAAATGATCAGAAAAGTATATTTTTGGGGTACATTCTGTCATAAGCCTGGAAATACAAATAAAAATATGATATTCACCTAGCACGAACATTGTCCATGTTTATTTTTTACTATGACACTTTGTCAGGCATTTGACAAGAGTTGTTACTAAACAGAGACACTGCTTCCCCCCCCCCAGATGACCGTTTGCTATTTTTTATCCTCATTTAGATTTCGTATTCTTCGTTAATGAAAATAGCTATTCACATAAATAAGTGCTTCCAAAATGGCATAACATGCTGCACGTAGAAAATAGTTTTCCCTATACTTATACTTTCTTTTTAGGAGAATTATCCTTCAAAACTACAACAGTCATGTAATAAAATTATGATCTTCATAGTTAGTGGCAGAATAAATTAGATTTTTTGTTTAAATAAAACAGTTTAAAGAAGCTTGTATTTCAGCCAGATCTAGGTGACTGGTACCTTTTTTGTGTAGTATAATATTAATTTAACCCTCTTAAGTGGTGAAGTAGAATAAATTTTAAGTTACCTTATTTCTGTATCTGTTAATCTGAAATATTTAGCTATTCTATAGAGGAAAACTCACCAACGGAATCAGTGTAATGCCTAAAGTAACTTGCAAGACAGCAAATTAAGATTAGTTAAATCCGAGATAGATATTGCGAAAGTCTATAGACAGACAAAGTCAAATCTTTCTCTATAAAGGTCAAACTTTTCTCTTTTCGGCGCTCGAGACAGTGATCGACATCACCACACTAGTTGACCTTAGTCAAGAGGTCAAAAGTTTGTAGTATATTTGGCGTTACAAGGTACTTGTTTGAATACAGAATGCTGAAATGTAAAGAATTTTTTTTCAGCAGGTTTATCAGGATTTGTTTTTCAGCAGCTCATGAACTTGAGATTTTAATCTTAGCTTCTAAGATCGGAATTTAAATTAAAAACTTTTCATCTTTTTTTTAAAAAAAGAGAAGTATAATTCTGTCCACTTGTCATAAAATTCCAACGTATTTCACTAAAATTTCATTTTCTTGACCCACTTGTCATACTGGACTGGTGCCTGGAAACTAATGAACCGAATGCGAGTTCAATGTTACATGTAAAATGTAAAATATATAATTCTTAACCAAGCAGCAATTAATTAACAACTTAAAGAAGAATTATGTAACAATCAATTGGAAAGAGATGTGGAATGTAGTTATCATTGTCGATAGGTAGTACCGCAGAAGAAATAACCAAATTTTAACAAATATTCTTTTTTTATTATTCCAATTATTTGCAAACATTCCAGTGGAAAGATAAAACATTATCTGAATAAAAAATAATATTTCTATATTTAAATTTGTTTATATTCCTTTCTAACAATATGACATAAATAGTTTGACTCTTGGCCTAAATTACAAAAAGAAAACATTTTTGCAAAATTAGGGCGTTCTGAATCAGTAGCGCGGAAATTAAATTTATGAAATGTAAGAACATCTTATCAGGACTTGTTTTCCAACGGGGCTTGCTTTGGAAACATGAACTGTCCTGACTCGGAACAGGGAGCTTACTCAAGCTATGTTCAATAAATTGTGAAGTAGACAATACACACAGGAAGGGTATACGAAACCCTTTATTTTTCATCTTTACAGAGATTTCCGGAACTTCGGAATACAGAGACCAACCACTTGTGGTCTGAACGTAAGAATATAAAACTACTAACTAAACTCTAACTAAAAAACTAACTGGATAATATACAAGTGCCTAGCAAGATTGGCCGTTATTAACAAGTCCGTATGTAGTACGGAGAGCTGCTAAAACTACGATACGTTTGAAATTATCAAGAGGATTAAACCTCTGGCCTGAAGGCAACCAGCAACCGAGTGAAAACTCTCTAAAATGGCAAGCGGCCTTGCTTCCAATACTCCTTCCTCTCTCTTGCTTGGCAAAAAACCACAACTTAAGTACTTGGCGTTAGCAAGACAAATTTGCATAAATAAGTTAAAGCTTTTAATTCTGGCCGGAAGTAGAAAATAAGAAGTGATAGTAAAGATTTAAAATAAAATAAAAGTTAGTAAAACTTAGGATCCTTACAATCTTACGTAATTTAATATAACGTGTTTGATTATTTCTAATGAAAATCTTAAAACCACATATTTTACATTTATATTTCCAAGCGATTAAGTTGGAATCTTATCAATCATTTAGTCAGGTCTTCACTTGTTATATGAAAGATTTCATTTAAAAATTAATGATATTTTATGTATTTCAACTAACTATTTAGCAATTTATAATGATCACTAGGAAAAGCTGTTAAACATAATTTGAGATCATTGGTCCCACTGGCTATCAGAAAATGTCTGATCACATATGGTCGATAGGCTAAGGCTGGCCATACTTGAATTAGAGGAAATTCTGGTTGTATTTTCGATTAAGATTATAGATCTTAGGATCTGTAAGATTTCAATATTTGTACTAAATAAACTGTTTGCTAGATTCTTATTAATCGAAACAGAAAAATCTTTCAAAATATATCACTCTAGTTCCTAATGCTCCTGTTTAGCTTAAATTTGAAAGTGGATAATCTGAATTGTCTCTTTATAATATAACAGGAAGTTTCGACACATTTTTCTGTTGAATACTGTGTCATCACTTTTTAATGCATAATCGGCATTAAATACGAGCATTTCGAGAACGACATATGGAAGCTTCAAAATTTTTTATATCGATGCTCAACACTTTGCTTTATTGCTTGAAATTTCATCTTCGACAGCCTTTTTGGAGTTTGGAATGGCTTTGAATATTATTTGACAAATTTTGCCTCAAGTCCCATGTAAGAAATCGTAGAAATTATAGTACAAAAACTACTCCAGGAAAAGAAATTTCAATGATTCAAATTCAGAACTGTGGAGACAGATTCATCTAGGAAAAGGTTTCTGATTTACAAAAGGGAGGCCTTTGTTCACAAAATGATTACTGAGGAAGGAAAATATAACTTTTGTTCGTTTATATAACTTCGCTTGTTTTATACAACCTCGTTTATTTGATATATCAAAGTTTACTTCATTATACTTCAGTGTTTGCTTTTTGTGTGACGTCACTGAATTCTTTAGTCTACTCAAATGTAACTATTCCTTTTATGTCTTCGTTTTTCCCACTTGTGTGAAGTAAATGGCATCAGCGTTGGGAAAAGGCGTAGCCTCGTTTGTTTACTGATCCTGTGTGAGCCTAGATGTCCTTTCAAAAGATAAAAATCAAATCTATTGCTCGGTCGAAGGAATATCTAAATGCATTTTGTTATTTTCCTCGATTCTGATAATCAAGCCTATTGTTTTGAACTCTCGAAGTAATCTATCTAGCATGGAAGTAATCGGAGCATAGTCATGATCTATTCTTCTGCTCTCTCAATTAACACAGTGACAATAATATATTTTAATTCAAAACTCTCTGTTTTTCAATTAACACAACAGCAATATATTTTAATTCAAAATATTCGGTCAGCCATTACATAAACTGATTTTTCAAAAGTGAGTAAAATCGGTCATCGGAAAGTATTACAACGAAATTAATGCAATCTTTTGAGATTTTCTTTGTATTATTCACATTTAAAGTTGGCTACGCATTACTAAATGCATGTTTATTAAAACTATGTATAAAACTGTAAAGCATTACATATATTTCTTGAATACAATTTTATATTGTATGGTGACCGAGGGAAATTAATAACAATTAACTCCGCTCATTTAAGAAAAATATCAGTATGGAAACCTACACTGGGAATAAAAAGATAAGCAAAGATTTCAATTAATTGTTTAGTCTGAAGTCTTCAGTGAACTTCAAGTACAGAATTAAAGAAAAGTTCATATTTAAAATTACATCTTACGTGTTTATAAAATGTGCTTATCTAACACATTAAAACCATGTTTTTCAGATTCAAGAAAGATGTATCAATTTTCCTATGGACATTTGGTAAACTTCACATAGTCACCGCCACATGGCTTGGAATGATGTTTTCTATTGTTTTCATATTTTATCCTGTATTTCGATTTTGGTGCAATACCCGATTCCTGATTTGGAAGAGAAGTAAGTCAAGATTTATTCACATTCGTAAGAAAATATAAATTAGAAATTTTACAACGGCGTCTTAAAATTATTGCAAAATAAACAGATAAAAAATCAATTTGTTTTCTTTTGTAGTATCTAGTAGATGATAATGTATGTATATTTTTCTTCAGTCTTTCGCATTTATTTTCGGCTGTCACTCACCAGTTTTAAGAAAAGCAAAGAACTAGAAAAGTTAAAAGTTACTTTACTTCAGAAAACGTGTCAGTTACCTAAATTTAATTGACTATAGTATATTGTGATTTATAGAAAAGGTTAATTAGGTTTATAGAAAATGAATTAAAAAAACAGGACGTTTATTTTTATCATTTGGCAACCTGTTCTATCGTATCAAGAAACAACTTAATGTTTCATGTAAAAAGAATCAAATAGCTATTACCATAACGAAAATGTGTGTAACTATATTTTTCAATCTACCTTCTTTCTATGTCTTGTAGAGACATTAGGTTATTTGGAAGCAGGAGACATGAAAAATGAGCAATGTCCTTGCCGAACCTGGACCTCTCGAATACGCGCCGAGTGTGCTAACCGTTACACCACGAAGGCATGCAGAAAGGAGGGAAAACATTAGGTTGGTCAGGCTGCGCCCACATCTGGTACCTTATATACTTCCCCTTTTAAAGGGAGACTGGGGATTAGGGGACCCAGTCGCAAATCTTGGTGGTTTGAAAATCATTGTTCACTACCTTTAGGGAGCCACTGTACAGTGATTTAGAATTTTTCGAAGTCAAGAAGCTGAAAAATGCAATGCCCTCGCCGGGACTCGAACCCTAGACCTCTCAAATACGCTCCGAATCTGCTACCGTTACACCACTAATGCATGCAAAAATGAGGGAGAAAATACCTTATAGTCTTAATAAAACTTTCCTCCATATTGTTCATCTAAAATAGCTTCCTATGCTTAAGGAATAATTCTGATGTGAGAGAAAAGCAACTTCTATAAAATATCATGATCAAATTCCTAATTTATAATATTTATACCTGAATATAATTTTCACAGTTTCCAGATTTCTTAATCAAAATTGCCAGATATTTCTTTAAAATTTATCCCAGGAGCATTTCTTCAAACTATACCTGAAGTTTAGGTTTCAGAAAATAATTTTCTTTTTTGGTCCAGTAAGGATTCCTCCTTTTATTTCCAGATTTCATTTGTACCGGGAAAGTTACTTAAATGTCATATAATTCACTAGCAAATTTTCGCAATAGGGCTATAAATATCTCATTATTTCAAATATTTACCTCCACTCTCTCTGCACTTATTCATCTTTCCAATAAATAATTATACCAACTCTTCTAAATTCCCGATGGAAGTTAAAAGATCTATCTCTTCTTGTTCACATAAACTAATCTAGATCCTACAAAATGAGCCTGGCGAGTTCTCGCACAGGCGGGAATTAAATACCAGCTCAGAAGAAAGGTGAAAATAACCCTTTAGTATTTCCAACTTATAACAGAAAGGCACTACCTCGTGCTTATTCTGCTGCAAAGTAACTTTAGTATTTGAAATAACGTAATAATTATGTATTATACTCTGAGCCACAACGACAGCAATATCGTACAAAGTTATTTGATGTGTCTTGTAATCCTTGATATGCAGGGATGTGACATAATACCACCTAAGCTCTCGGTAGAATGTTGGTTCCACTGTCTACTGTAGCTCATAGTAATATTATATTTTTAATTAGCCTATGTTCAAATTTACTTCAATAACTCTGCATTTTAGTCTGTAATCCTAATTATACGTAATTGTGCAACCTTTAAACATGATTATTCATAATAATAGAATTTAATATTTTTTACTGTACATATGAAGTGGCTCATTTTAATCTCATTTCTTTAATTATTTTTAGGGTTTTACGATTCAATATTTTGCTTTTTCTTCGTTATTTATCAAATGGCGTTTCTGATCATACCAGCTAAGATTGTTCTGAATTGTAATATACCACCAGCTTCCACCTTCATTGTTATTTGTGAGCAGGTAATTTTAACTCTTTCAAAGATAAAAGAATTTTGTTGATTTTAACCTTTTATTAGCTATTATGCTAGCTATAAGTTTTACACATTTATTTATTACATTATTTATATTACATTTACAGTTTCACCATTTAGTTATTACAGGAACTGAAAAAGGGAATATTTCAGCTTTATTATTATACTGAATTCTCAATTGTCTAATAATTCAATATTCCAAGTTACGTTTCACCATTTATTTATTACGGAACTGAAAAGGGAATATTCAGCATTTATTTATCTACTGAATTCTCATTGTCTGAGATATTAATTTCAAGTTACATTTTCACACATTATTTAACAGACTGAAAAAGGGATTTCAGCATTATTTTACTTATAGAATCTCAATGCCTGAGATATTAATATTCAAGTACATTTTCACACATTTATTTATTACAGGAACTGAAAAAGGGAATATTTCAGCATTTATTTTACTTATACTGAATTCTCAATTGTCTGAGATAATTAATATTCAAGTTTACATTTTCACACATTTATTTATCACAGGAACTGAAAAAGGGAATATTTCAGCATTTATTTTACTTATACTGAATTCTCAATTGTCTGAGATAATTAATATTCAAATTTTTAGAAATGATGTCGGTCTTTAGAATAAAAGTGTGCCTAGATGCTTACGCACATCTAAATGTAGCTCTGAAAATCCATACTATATCATTGAGGATGATACAATACTTTTCGTACTACTCCATACGCCATGGCTGTTTATTAAAATGCAAGTATTCCTAGAAACTACAGAAACTTTAATTTAGCTCTATGAAAGCAGTATCACGTTTGTATGTAGATCGCATTTCTTATGTTTTGATTAACAAAAAAAGGTTTTTCTTTTAAATATTTTAATTCAGTAAAGTTGTAGAGACATTAGGAATTTTTGGAAGCCAGAGAGATGAAAAATTAGCAACCGCCTTTGCCGGGAATCGAACCACGGACCTCTGGAATACCGGCCCAGCGTGCAGAACCACTACACCACGAAGGACGCTAGGAAAGTGGGAGAAATACCTTATAAAGTATCAGAATTAATAATGGATTCGTTAAGAAAATAGCATGTAGTTAGAAAGTAAAGATTTGGATGTATGTATCGTTTGGCAAGTCGCGAAATTATTTTCTAGAAGTTAAGGGGGGGGAAATGGTAATTGCAAAGTAATGCTATTATTCAAGTAATTAATCTTTTTTTTTTTTTTTTTTTTTTTTTTTTTTTTTTTTTTTTTTTTTTTTTCATGTAAGTAACGAATAAATTTTAAGCAGAAAAAAGATTGGGTAAAAGGGTGAGAAAACTTTACTAAACTTTCATCCTCCAATATATTTATTTATCTCGTCTGGTCTGGTCTGCACAGTTATCGCCGAAATATCGCGCAATGCGCCATTTGTCCGGCTCATGAAAATAAAGCCCAGTGGGCACTTAACATTAAGACTTCGTGACAGTTTGATAAAGGTCTGAGGTGGTAACAGGGGGCGACCATGTGTCGTAAAGTCTTCTAGAAGCAAGAGCAACGAGAAGCGCATGATTCAGGAGCTGTGAGGATACTGTGCAGTGTGTTTGTGCTGTTGCATAAATAACAGAAACACATCAGACAAGTTTCTTTATCTGAAGCAGTTCCTTTCTTTTAAAGTACTACCACTATGTAAAAATTAACCAATCATATTAAAAAATAAATTTATCGTAAGTAAAAATTGACCCATTTCACAAGTTCTTAATTTAAAACAACATCCTTGATTTTCCCTTTTGGGGTTATTCTTTGTATGGTTTTGTTGTGTAGTGATATCAAATTTATTTATCCTTTCCTGCAACTTGTTGCAATTAAGACAAACGAAGCCCACCTCAAGAGGCCTCATATTAAGTAGAAGGTGGGTTTGCCAGTCAAAATCACCTCGGAGAGAGGATATGACAGAATTCTTTACGCCCCGTATGAGTCCCGGGCTTCAGTCCCGGAACGCCACCTTCTATATAGCACTAAACTCTCTCAACGGACACCTTTTTTTGAACCCGTCCGAACGCTCGTCAAACCTCGAGTGCCGAAGACAACGACGGGGTAAGGCAACAGTGACTGTGACACTGCGTTCTTGGGCGTTAGGCTACCTACTCAGATGACCGAAACCACAACAGTCAGTGGTAGCATAAGCTGCCCTTTGGCAACAGGAACCGGGTTCGTGTTTGTTATTATGCCTCAGAGCCGTTGCTGTCAGAATGTGATACTAAACCAACATATACAACCCCAGGGTTTTCTATAATGATACAAAATACATGATCCGTACGACGATGCTAATGTCCTGACTGGTACCTGAGTTTTTTTATATTCAGAAGTCAACATAGTGTTAAAAGTACACCATTTTATTCTCAGTATCCACTAATAAAAACAACTCTGCAACATCCTTCGGACTCTGAGTATACTGCGACCACGCTCATTTAATATTTCTTTTAAGTTGCAATAGTTACGGATGTCACATATTGTAGTACGAGTAAAGTTGCATACATTGACGCCGTTTAATAACAGTTACGTAGTGGCGTTATATAAATTGCAGTGCGCCTTGTATTACATATTACTTTACACTAATTTAACTTGAAGTACTTTTTATTGAGTATAATACCATAAAAAACTTAAAAGGGTAAAACTAAAAGGTTATATTACAATATTATAACTTCTGGGATGAAAAATGACTTAGAATTTGCTCTAACTATAGAACGACTAACCACATATGTTAAATTAAAGCTTGCAGAGTTATAGTCGCTGGTAATACTTAACTGTCAAACACAAGATAAAACTCGAATGTAAAAACTTTATTAACCATGTCTTGCAGGTCTCTAAAATAATAACAAATGATAGCAAAACTAAAATAAAGTACTTTTCGTGCAACAAGATTATGATGTGATTACAAAAATATCCTAACTCGAAATTAGAAATACGCTAGGATCGGAGAGGACTAACTTCGGTAAACACTTAGTGAAGCTCAGAAAAATCTCTCTACATTTCTTACACAGCTTTGCAAACGACTTCTACAAGCAAGAAGGCATAATCACAGAACAAGCTCTGAAGCACACGGGTCACTATTTCAAATAAAAGACCAAAGACCAATAGTCATCAGTGTACAACAATGCTCACCGCAAGAAATAAAAAAAGGCACTTTCATACTTAATGATGCAATTAAAAAGTAGGTCACAAAATGTTAACTGATGTCGCAGTTCTTCAAAAATAGGAGTATAGGAAAATCCGGGTAGTAAGTGAATACATATGGTTCTTTCCCGACACCTAGCATCTTTATCCTGCAACTAGCTTTCGGACATTTTGAGGCATGCTACTCACCCTTGGGATTTTCAGAATAGAAATTGGATGAATGCATGTTAACCTGGATTTCGCTGAGACTTATTCCTTTTCATAAGCCAGAAAAACAGTGCACACTGACGTGTACTATCGAACATGAAAAGCCCATATAATGCTACTTCATGGATTTAGGGTAGAACTGAATGTTTTAAAAATTCTGATCTGTAGCTATGCTGGCATATTAGTTTATACAAGAGAAGAAAAAGGGAAGAGCTCATCCTCTACGTATCTCCCCAAATTGTGGTGCCGTTTTCTGATTTCAGTCATCTAATACTGAAGCTTTATGACGCCCTTTTTGTTCAAAATATGCTTTCTTGAACTTGTTTGTACTAATTACAAGCTAGGAAGTAAGTGTTCGTTTTTTCGAGGATTCCAGTTTTTATTGATATGTCATAATTTTGCATTTTTTCCCCTTGGACTGCACCGATAGCCTCGAAAAAATGAGGCAAGGGCCACATACGGTTCACAGGTCACGAGTTTAACATGCATACTCTAACAGCTCATAGATAAGGTTAACATCCTAACTTCGAGCTATGCCGCTTGCCTATCATGTTACATAAAATAACTCTGATCTTAGCAAGTATCGTGACCTGTAGCACAGATATTTACTTCAAACTAGTCATTAATAAATCTTTAAACATAATTTTCACAGCATGACTGAATTTTAAAATAAGCTTTATGGGATGGTTGAAAAATATCATCCTATTCGCAATAATTGGATTATTTTACACTAATTCAGTTTACAAAACCGTTGTAGAACAGCAGCTCAGGAGTAAAAAACATTATCTGTACTTGGAAGTTATAACTGAACTAAAAGCTAAATTACTGGACCACTTAAGTTAAATTTTTAACAGTATTTTCATTCTTCTGCGAATGTTCTCCAAACCTTTAAGTAATTTTAAGTTCTTAGTTTTAGAGAAGCATTGTTATAATTTATTGTTAATCATAACTTGAGACCAATTATGACAAATTTTCTTATAATTACCTTTAACTACAAATATAATTTACTTTACTAATAACGTAATATTAAAATTAATTATCTTTATGTAAAACAGAATTATATTTAATTAACTTTTGTATTATTTTGAATTTTATTTAGCTAAGATTGATGATGAAAACTCACGCATTTATGAGAGAGAATGCTGCCCGTTTATTGACATTCAAGCCTCACCAAGGTATGAACAAAATTATATTATCATACTCAAAGTATCTTGGACAATGATCGAAGCATGAGTTATTAGAAGTTCTGTAATTTTACACTAAGCGGCCACTTTACTATCCCATAATATTTTGTTGTTTACCCCATCAATATTTTGTTATTTACCCTATCAATATTTTGTTGAGTCAAGTTAGGTTCCAAGTTGGGTCATTGTTATTTTCATTGTGTTCAAATAAAAGGGTATTATACAAACTTCTTTTGATTTTTGTTTCTGCACTTCGCAAGGTTTGAGGATAGTTCTTCGACAGTCTTTTTTTTTTAATCTTAATTTATGCTCCCTAAGAACACGAGACTTTACAAGTCTGTTAAATCTTTTTTTCTCCATATGTTGACAAAATCTTCACCTATACTGCTGTTTCAGAAACTAAGTTTTCCTTTCTTATACTTCCCTAGCCATCTAGCGACAACAGTGTAACGCCATAGCTAATTTCCTTCAAACTGCCAGATGGCCATAATTAAGTCGTCACTTAGTGTATACTCTCCTTAACGGGCAAGAAAGGACACTGTTTTTCAAAAGTTTGATTTAGACGTTTATAAATTTTTCATTTGGTTATTTCATTCTTTAATTTGTTCTTGCTTCGATAAATGTTCTCCTATTTCGGTGTTTTCTTCCTGGTATATCTAGTCTTTCGATTTTACAGTCTATTAAAAATGTATAATAATAAATGCAATAAGAATATCATGAAGCGGTTGGCGCCCCCACCCATCACTGGTATCTGAGTAGTAGGGCGGGAATGGCTCTAACCCTTACATACTATAACAGGAGCTCGCGGGCTACGCTTTCACAACTGCAAGCGGCCACATCAAGTGCGTTTCTTTCCATGGGGGCAGAAAAGTCTTGGACACCTGCACCAAGTGTCATGAAACTCAAGCTTCGGCCAAACGTATCTTCGGTTTCCCAAAAGAGAACATATTTTCTAATCCTCTTCTTGCTCTCGACTTTTTTAAGATCGACCGACTTTCAGGTTTTGTTTGTCTTCGTCAGACTTTTGAAGATAAGCAACAACAACAACAGAATAGACTTTTGTAGCTATGATGAAAATTTCAAGAATTACATTTTGGACACACTGCCACATCTCGAAAACATGTGGCATTTCATCATGTCTGCATTTCGAAAGTCGGTATTCTCGAGTGCATCAAGACTCTATTCTCTTCTTTTTTGTTAAAATTTGTGTTAAATTACTTAGTTTATAGCTTCTGGAACAGCTACATTTGGCTAAAGGCAGTGTAGTTTTTCTGATGTAATAGATGCAATGAATATTTTTAATCTGATACTCATTTTAAAATTTTATGATTAATGTTTTTAATATAAGTAAATCTGTAAGGATTAAAAGCTACTTAAATAAGAAAAAATTCCACATTTGCAATTTGAAATTTAGAAAATAGTAATTAGAAATAATACGCAAAGAAAGTCACTGAGGCTATGTCAAGTAATAAAAAATATGTATCTGGAAATTAAATTTTGAAGCTAGCAACTAAAAGAAAAGCGAAATTTCAGAGCTTAAATAAAAATGTCCAAACTAAAGATTAATTAGAAAACTTAGACGTCGTAATCTAAAATAGAAGCAGTTTCATAATCATACATTAATAATTTTTCGAGTTATAGGTAAAATCTAGCTTTTAATTAAACAAAGAAACCTGAAACAGCTCTTTGAAATATAAGATTTCTTGAAGGAAATTAGCACAAAGCTATTTTTAAAACTCAGCAAATTCAATGCAATGAACGTACACTAACTTTGATGTCCAAAACTGGATCTAGCCTTCGATTTTTAAATATTGTTACGAATTTGGTATTTAAAAAGCTAATGTTAGTTCAATTATAAATTAAATGGTTTTATTTCTCGCGCAGTGCAGCGCGTGACGAATATTAAAAGAAAGCTAAGCCGGAAAAATTGAAAATACAAGAGCGCGTGCATTAAATAAATAAATATCTCTTTTTGATTTCGAGAAAGTGCTGGAAAATTCTAGCGCGTGATTTTAAAATCTTATAAAAGGAGGAAACATCTCAGTTGTAGTAGTTGCTTAGTTTGTTGTGTTTAAAACTACTGTTGTTGATTGTAGCGAATTCGCGGATTAGCGTTCTTTAGCTTTGAATTACTTTATTGACATTTGAGTAAAAAGAAAAGAAACTATGTGAGAATGTAATACTGCATGATTTTTTTCATTTTTCATCAATTGTGCATTTATTCATAACGAACCCGTACGCACGCAACAATATGTTTAAAAATTCCAGAAGTAAAGGCTATTCTTATGAACACATTTTCTGACATACTTAGTTAAGATTATATTATCCATAAGGTAGCTTGTAATTATGTTAAAATAGAATTAAAATTTTAGTTAATATAATTTATGAAACTCCACGCTTATTTAGATACTTGAATATTTTTAATGTTTAATTTTTAATTAGTATCGTTCTAATTTATATATACGTACTGCTTAAGCAAGTACATATTTAATTGGTATCAATTAATATTTGCTTAAACTTTCCGGCAATAAAGTGCAACTAAGGCGACAACCTGGGGACAATTTCCGTATTAAGCGGGAGAGCCGGACGTTGTTCATAGAAAAAGAGTTTACCTTTTACAACAGAAATGGTAAACTCTTCTTACTACGCCAAGGGGGTCTCAATCCCTCAATCAGACTTTTAAAATATGAACTCTCTCATGAAAATCTCGAGGACCAAGGGTGAAGGCAAACTACAGACACCGTGTTAACCTGGGAGTCTGACTGGTTATCTAAATGCTTCTCATCAGTACTACGCAGGCTGCCCGTCGCCTAGGACATTATCCAGAATACTCGAACCAACCGAGCTATTAGCACCATCGGTTCTAGGACTTATACCAGTCCCCCTCGGTCGACCGTAGAAATGCTCTTCCCACTGTTTATGGAACCGCCAGGCAAGTGTTTTTATCCCCCGATGTTTAACCCTCTTTCCTTCCACAAACCACACGAAAGAACTTTCGACTCACCATATAATTAGAGTGTCAATGCAGCAAAAACGCTATACATTTACAAGCATCTATGCTTTCTGCACGATTAGAACCCTGTTCCTTCGCTTCCCCAATCACTTTATCGTCTGGACGGCCTATACACTACTTATATATGCATATGAATGCAGAGTATGCCGAAAGAGTACTCGCAATTAGGATGTGCAGCTGAACGTGTACTGGCTTAAGGAACGTTTGATGAGTTTGCAGGTTCATTATGTTTGTCAAATCAGGAAACATGAAACAGGTGCTATGCGCTACCCAGGATTCGAATTCAGGGCCTTCTGGTTGCTAACGGACGTGCTTTCCATTTATACCACGAAGGCACGGGGTAACATGAGAGAAAATCTTTGTAATGTTTCTCACTTAAAATGGATACTGGGGAGGCGAGTATCCAATCGCCAAATCCTGGTAGTAGCACGGAGGAATAAAAATTGTGCATGCTGAAGTTAAATTAATTGCTGAATATGCTACGGTACTATACACTGTATTTCTTTCTCTGCGGCAGGTATTTTCCTATATTAAACATAAGTATGCATTTCTCTGTTTCTTTGTTAGCGCTGTTGTTCCTGTATGCTGCATCTAGTTTAAGTAGTCAATTTATAAGGTATTTTCTCCCTCCTTTCGACAGGTCTTCGTGATGTTACTGGAAGCATACTCGAGTGGTATTCTATAGGTCCAGGTTTCGAGTCTCGGCGAGGGCATTGTTCATTTTTCAGCAAAAAATCTAATGACTCTACGAACTTGGAAAAAAGTCAAGGTTTGAAAACTCGAGAACACTTTCTATTAAATACCTCTCTCCAAGTATCGTAGAAGTCGAAATGTCAAAAAGCGAGTCATCTTCTAATTCATAATTGTCTTAAACACAATAAAATGATTGTTAAATATAATATAAACATTAAGTGCGCTAAAATGACCACCAGAATAGTACGAGTTATTGTTGCAGGATTATCTTACAAAAGGAAATTAAAAATAAGAAGAGTGCGAAAAGATATTAAAATCAATTCAACTTACTATCAAGAGAAAGGTGTTATGTCCGATATTTGCAAAAGAAGTTCCATTTCTTTATCCCAATGACTTCCAGAGAGTGAAACTTCAACATGGAAAAGCATCAAATTATACTTCGAAACGTGCCACTAAGCTCTTGAGGAAATGAAGACTGATTGAGGTATTGCATATATACCTACGTATTCTTGCGACTCGGAAAGATTTTAAAATAAACATTTTCCCGTTTTTGAGATATAATAGGATCCACCACTACTTGTGGTGATGCAATTAAAATAAAAGTCAAATTCAAAATTTGAAACATAGGCTAGTAATCAAAGACTACATAATTTAATTTAAAGCGAAGTTGGCTCAAAACTCTAACCAGCCAATTAATTTAAATGTGTGTCGGCAGCAATATCGCAAAGCCGAAGAATTATAAACTTATTAGAAGTGGCAGAAGTAAAGTCGCGTGGTCTCGAGAGAGAGAAAAACGCTCTCTCTTGCAGTCCGAAATCTCAGCTTAAATACTGTCCAACTCATTTACATTTCTGCTGAGGAAACGGAAAGAATAAGTTATAGTAAAGGTTGAAATTATAAATAATTGGTTAATTTAAATAAGAAATGCTCCATACTTATAGCTACAGTTTTCGCACTTTCATATTACAACCGACTTCAGCGAATTATCTCATTTTGCTGTACTCTGCCTCTGAGACACTGTCATAACAAGTCTCATGATGTTTCATCTATGCACTATTATGCCTCTGGTCTCTTGAAAGAGCTCTTTCTAAGCGCGAACCCAGCACGATTGATGGATTTTAGAAAGTAGTGGTAGAGGAAGGGAAATCAGTAACCACAGAAATTTTGCGAAAATTCCTTTTGTCACGAAAATCACGATGTAACCTATAAACCAAAGGAAAAAAACTGTCAGATAGAACATTCAAAGAAATACTCTTTACGTTAAAAACATTAATTAGATGGCCACGAATTAATTAAATGTGTAAACTATCTTATGCAATAGATGGTGGCGGCCTGAGGTGATTTTGCTAGAGTCTATGCTAATGTCTATGCTTATTCCGCCATTCTGTACATAGCATATCGTATCAGGATCAATAACTTTTTTTTTTTTTTTTTTGGTAACTTGAAAGTACTACGAGCAGCTAAACGTACAACGTGTAACTACATTCAGCATCTGACAGTTCATATATGTAGTCAAATGAAAATATAAGAGAAAAAATTCCTAGATTAACTTTAATTCTCACCGCCTATTTCAAATGATGTTATTGCATAGCTTTTCATGACGCGATATTTAAAAATACTATTTGGCATTTTGACGCATATTTGGTTACTGGCCTTTCGTAACCAATTTTGTATAATCCCGATATTTTTGCTTATATGATCAAACTTTAGTTTATTTAGAAAGTTTTAATAAAGTGCTCAATTTTATATATGGAAAGCACAAAGCATTAATGAATTCTCCAGTGTATGTGATTTCGTGGTGCAAGCAGTACTACGACCGGCTTGCAACTGAAAGCTCTATTGTTTAAATCTCGAGAAAAGCCTAATCTTTTTTTTTTTTTTTTTTTCCTGTTTTTCATTTCGAAAACAATCCCCAAAATCCAACAAACCCATCGTAAATTAGTTACATCAGTCAATTGTCACTCCAGAACAGAAAAAGTCTTTAATGCGCACATTGCGCTGCTAATCGCAGAATCACAATATGAGCCCAATTCGTTACTGCGAGAACACAGAAAATTGATAATAAGTTTTTAAAAACGCTGTGTATAACTTGCATATAAAATGAGGTATCCCCAAAAGTTCATATAAGAAGAGCACCACTTCCTAAATCCGTCTTTCACTTATCTATAATTCATGTACTTATTCATTTATATGCTTGGGATCCTCCAAAGTTCATATAAGGTGAGCTCCTATTTCCTAAATCGTATCTTATCCATAATTTCATGTATTTATTTACTTATATGCTTACTTACCCACAAAGCCTTTTGGCTCTTTAGCTATTAGATACTTTTCTCCTACCCCATCCCAATTCTACCGGATCACAGAGTTAAAACTCTCACATGCAGAACATGTGTTTAAACGTTCTGTGTCCATTAGTTAATCAGAGTCACAAAGCAAACAAACTAGAGAATTTTTGAGTTTTCTTTAGGCATGCATATCCTATTAACCCACAATCAGGACAAAGACTGTTTTCCATAGGCAGCATTGCAGAAATTAAGCCAGTGTCTCAGAAACAGAGTATGGCAAAATAAAATAATTCGCTAAAGTCGGTTGTAATATGAAGGTGCGAAAACTGTAGCTATAAGTATGGAGCATTTCTTATTTAAATTAACCAATTATTTATAATTTCAGCCTTTACTATAACTTCTTCTTTCCGTTTCCTCACCAAAAATGGAAATGAGTTGGACAGTATTTAAGCTGAGATTTCGAACTGCAAGACACGGCGTTTTTCTGTCTCTCGAGACCACGCTTCTTTACTTCTACCACTTCTAATAAGTTTGTATTTCTTCGGCTTTGAAATATTGCTGCCGACACAAATTTAAATTAATTGGCTGGTTAAATTTAAATTAATTGGCGAAGTTCCGAGCCAACTTCGCTTTAAATTAAATTATGTAGTCTTTGATTACTAGCCTATGTTTCAAATTTTGAATTTGACTTTTACTTTAATTACATCGCCAAAGTGGAGGTGGATCCTATTATAGCACAAAAAGTTAGTTTGTATTTAATAAAAAGGTTATTTAAAAATCTTTCCGAAACTTAATTAACTTTAGCGATAATTCGCTTTACGTCTGTTAGAAGTTTAAAGCTAAGCTAAACCCTTAGTGAGCCAGGGCTGCAGTGCACTGATATCTATTTCTTGACCGTGGGCCCCGGGGTGCATAAGCATATACCCTGGGCACGTGGTCAGACGTCTTCAAGCGAATTTGGTACTCATTTTTTCGATTCACTGAAGGGATGAAAGGCCCAATGTATGAATGAAAGGCCTATGATGTATTTCACAATACATCATAGGCCCAATGCCCCTATGATGTATTGTGAAATATTATTGAAATAAAACTCCTTTGTAGAATATTATGCTATAATATTCATATATAATTTTAAAAAAGCAATACAATTAAGAATTTTAAACAAAAACTTTCAAAAATCCCTTTTTTGGATTTTAGTATTTTTTACCTATTTACACCAATAAAAAGCATAAAAATTGTAAGAGAAAATTGTTTGTTTGAATTTTTCTATTAGTTCAGATTTAGAATATTATTTTTTTAAAAGAAGTAGATAAAAATTTCCATATAGCATAGGAAAAGCTAAAAAATTACCCAGACCTGAAAGCATGCAACAGCTTTGTAATTATTTAGAACCTTAATTATGCTTGACAAACATGCTAAATTCTTAAAAATCAATCTCAGTTTCAAAAATAAAAATATCTAAAAATTATAATTTGTGAAATGTGGCGCTATCAGCAGCTTTTTCTAGAAAATTATACGTGCTGCAGTAGCCAACTATTGTTAAGTTTCTGAAAGTCGTCCCTACTCGTCCGGATGTGGTGAAGGTGACAGCCGGGAATGCGCCAGAGCAAGGGAGAAACCCATTTGGTTTGGTCTATTTCTTATAAGATCCGTGACTAGAAGTCAGTGACATCACAGAAGAGCAAACTTTGTAGTGTAGTAACCTTGATTCTGATAATATGAGACAAATGGAGTTGCCTTCCAATTTCCTATTCTTAAACTGATCAGACGCAAGAAATTCTAGAATTTCATTTGCAATAAACAGTCTTATAACAATCTACGTTCACTTGTTATGACTACTTTGTAGGCGCATGATTTCAAGTCACTCTTTCTAGCCTATAATAGTTTCTTTAAATCAATTATGAGACGATTTCAGGGTGTATTAGGAGAAGAAACGTAATTCAGTGAACATTCAAGTGTATAAAACTAGTTTGGATTTTCACCGATTTTGTTTTATTTTGTTCAGGACTGGTGGAACTGCACATCATTTGCCAAATTTTACCGTTCATGGAATCTAGTGGTTTATAAATGGCTATACTTTTATGTCTATCAAGATGTGTACGCTGTAAGTAGCACTTTATATTTAACTTTAAAATATAACAATGATAATTTAATATAATAATTATCACTGATAGTTCAAAATTTAAAGATGATGGTGAAAGTGATTCTAATTGTGCAAAGGTTAATTAAAATTTTAGTGACTGTAAATATTTACGGTAATTATGTATGTTATTGAATAGAAAGCTGTATTACTGTTAGACGATCTTCATCAAGAAAACGCTGTGGTTACCTATGGATGACCTTGAGCAACAAGACAATTTACTCTTTTTATACCTATAGAGCAATTGCAGAATATTCAGATAAGCTCTGAAGAAATTTATCGAGATTTATAAGAGATATCCAACTGTTTTCGATGTTTCCTTTTACTGATTATTCTCCACATTCGATCTTCAACAAAATAATATTGCTGCGAAACGCCCAGCAGCGGTAAGACCACTTCTCCGCAACACGGGACTAGGATTTCCCGAAAGTGGCAGGAAAACACAGATTTGGAGCGAAATCCCCCGTTGATGATATTTGGCGACATAATTCCCGACATCCCATTGACGCAGCGAGAACATTTTCAATTTTCAGCACATTTCAACATATTTTCAATTTTAAGCGGTTTTTCTCGAAGCTGTGTTAAAGCTATATACACCCTACCTGGCCTAGAAAGAGTAGTAGTGTCTTGAGTTCAGAGATTAACTTGAGAGCGATCGGCCAAGTCGAGGGCTGTACTTTAGTGCTTTGTTGTGAAGCTGTCTTTATAGTTATTGCTTGAAAGCTGTGTTTCTGATTGTTACAGGCTATTTATCGTCGTTTTGTAATGATTGCAAATGTGTCTTTGGAAATGCCCTGTGTAATACTGGCGAATGAATTGTATTTTAATTCTCCATCAAGTGTTATCATCAATTACTCCAAATCCAGGAACCCGTAGAACGCAACAATATTTTTCAGACATTATTTAAAATACATCATTTCTTTCAAATTAATTAAATTATGCGAGCGACGTTGAATATATTTCTTTTTATTTGCTCGCGTTTGCCTAATTTGCATATGTTGTCGGCAAATACAAAAAAAAAAAAAACGAAACAAAAAAAAACAAGGTTTTTCTGCACAATAGCATGTAATTTAAATTCTACATTCAAGTGAATTTTAATCAATCTTTGTACAATATCAAGTATTTGTATCATTATCTTTGTCCAATTATTATTATCATTCAACTTAAAACTGCGCAATATTATATTTTTAATTTTTCCCACATTTTCACAATGTTTTACACTTTTCTAATTTTAATACAAATTGACCTCTTCCCCAAACTATACCACGAAACTTACAGATTTATGTTATGTTATGATACAAACATTAGAAATAAAAGTATAGTTCTGTTAGAAAATATAACTGGTAATATAAATGCGAAAATATAAGACTGCAATCTGAACACTCAGGTAACAGTCTAACTTCTCAAATTTATTGTTAAAGTTACAAAAATGAAAAAAAAAATAAATAAAAATTCATGTATTCATAAAGAAGAAACTGCAAGCTGATCTTGATATGCAGATAGCAGTTTAACAGTTGAAACAGAAAGCTAAACAGTTACGAAAGGCTTACTTTTAGTTTAAGAATTAGTTTGCAGAATTTAAAAATCCTATCTTTGAATGAGCTGTTCAAAATTGTGCAAAAGGCAAGGTTTTTGCTGTTGAGTAACAAACAAAACATTTGCAAAACGTAAAGTTTTTGCTGCTGCTAACATAGCAAAATATTATTGCTATATTTTTATTTCATCAAAATTTAATTCCACATGGAGAGCTGTATACTTTTTTAATATAAAATATTTAATTATGCAAGATGTAGCGGTAAATTTATTTCATCGGATCTTTTGCAAATACAGCTTGCAACAGATATTTCTCTCCAGTGCCAGTGTTCTTATTTTGTCAGTATGTAAAATCCGCGAGCTAAAAACAATTCGCATGTCGAGTTTCGAGGTGATAATAAAATTAAAAAAAAAAACAGTAAATAACAAGCAGTTTCAAAATAGCAAATCATTTCCCCCTCGTTTAAAAAGACTCCACCCCCTGTCAGTAATCGGTTCCTTTGCCACTACCATAAAACAAAACTATTTTGGAGGTAATTATACAAATCGCTCAACATTGCTGTTATAAGTGTTACGTCAAAAAAATTTGATTCTAAAAAATGTAATTAAAAACGCTTTTGCCTTCTGTGCTTTTAAGCAAAGAAAAAGACATGTAGAGCCATTAGGTTACAAAGCAGGAGATATGAAAAATGTGCAATGCCCTCGCCGGGACTCGAACCACGGACCTCTCGAATACGCGCTGAGTATGTTGACCAATACACCACAAAGGCATGCTAAGAAGGCAGGAGACATACCTTATAGACATTCGCCATTTCAATAAAGTCGTATTTATTTTATAACACTATTTCTAGTAAGAAACAAGATTTCTCATACGTAATAACTTCTCAAAATTATCAAGCCTTTTTATTGTCAAAATTTATTTATTAGCCATTAACATAAGCAAAATAAAGTTTTTCATAAAGTTTCTATCAAGATCTCATATAGTATTTGAAGCTATTTGAATTTTAATAATTTTTTTTTCATTTGGGGATTTATTTATTTTTTCAGATTCTTGGTAAAAACAAAATTGGTGCCATGTATATGGTTTTCTTCATATCAGCAGTAGCACATGAATATCTTTTAGCCATGGTTTTTAAATATGTATTTCCTTTACTATTCTTCTTATATATGACTGTAGGAAGTAAGTAAACTTTATATGCCAAAAACAGTAGTCCAACTACTACATTTTAAAAGCATCAAATAACTAAATTTATTATTTGTTATTTATGTGAACTTCATCAAGATCTTCTTTTCATGAAAGATGTTGAAACTTCACAACATATTTATTACTTTCAACAAAAAAAATAACAGCACAATCCCTGCCATTTAAGTAATATAAACCTAGAATCTTCGATGAATTACTTATTTGATGCTTTTAATGTATTGAGAATAAGTTTGATCGAAACTATAAGTCATTTATGTATAATATATATTATATACATACGTAATTACAAAACAATTCTTTTGAAAACAAAATTTAAAACATGCCTAGTATTTTCGCACATTAAGCTGTAGAAAAATTATCATTAAAGACATAAAGTAAGACATAAAGTAATATCTTACATATACATATGTATGTATGCCACTTGCAATTCGATTTTCAGAACACTGGTTTAGTGTATTAATGTAAATTTGTTTGTATTAAAATATAAAAAATATTTCCAATATTCAATTACATTTTAGATATTTTATGAGCTTTTATTTAGGTCACTCATTACACGGTGAAAAGAAATTTGCTATCAATTTACAACTTACTTCCTGATAAGCTGTTGAGTTCAAATATTGTACACACACAGTTTTTTGATGACAATGCAAGGCGGTAAAACGATTTTTTTTTTTTTCAAAATTCAATTTAGATTTTGTTATTTAATATTCAAACGATTTTCCGCATTTATTTTCGTTTAAATAACAAACCAAGCACATCAGAATTTTACTGTTTGTACCATCAAATATAGCAAAAAAAAATCTTTTCGGTGAAACTTGTATGAAAATTGTAACTTAATTTCTGATTTTTTGACGGATGTTTTGAAATTCGCTCGATTTTTTTAGACTATTTGACGTATATGGTTTTAAAATTTCAGCATTTAAAAATATATCAGATATTAAGTTTTGAAATTTTCATAAATTTTTTAAAAAACTTTTCTCCCTCTTTTAAAAGAAGAATGATAAAGAAATATTAATTGAGCGATTTTGTGCACATTTCAAGTTGTATTACAGTCTGAAGTAGACAGAAAAAAGCATTTCTCCAGGAAAAATTGTTTTTGAGTTTGCCATCTTGGGAGCACTAAATGACGAATTCGCAATATTCAGTGATTCATTTTTAGCTTGAAGTAAATGCTCGTTGTAAAATTGTTATTACATCCAATTTCCTAAACTGAACATTCTCTGAATGACGTACAGTTATTTTTCCTTATTTCATAATTTTGTTGTAATTCATTGCTTGTCTTTTAAACACGACCAAAAATCTAATCTTTGAAAACGTATAATTGAGACTAAAAAGAAAAAATAAAATGCAATTTTAACAAAAGTTTTTTTTTTTAATTAGCTTGTATTTAAAATGGGTATGATGACTAATGGACTGAAAGAAGAAAAAATATTGTCACGTAGTTTAAATGGGAATCATAGATTATAAAATTTTATTTTTACAAAATTCATCTATAATTTTACATCGCGAATAAGAAGAATCCTTTCAGAGCATCAATTATCATATCCGTTTAACAAAAAAAAAAAAAAAAAAAAAAAAAAAAAAAAAACTTGCGGTATAAAAAAAATCCTTTTTTGAATTGTATTTTAGTAATATTTACATTTTTGAAAACTTCATAACAATATTAATATAGTTGTGAATATAGCATCAAGACTGTATGACAGTTGGCCCAATCTACAAATTATATTTCAAAAACTTTTATTTTTAGCTATGTATGTGTTTTTAACAAGAAGAGCAACATCTATATTTTGGAATGCATTCTTGTGGGGCTCCTTGCTTCAAGGATGGGGATTTTTAATTGTATTCTATTGTCTAGAATGGTATGCTAGAATCAATTGTCCCAGAACTTTAGTAAGTATTCTTTTTGTTGTTAGAAGAAATATTTTACTAAATGTTGATTTAGAAATGTTTAATAAGTAATAGTTTAAAGTTAATTTAAATCTTATCTCTCTAGATATTTTCATGTTTGAAACACAATGAAAATTGTTTATTCCTTTAAGTACTTTAGCACAGGAGCAGATATTCCTGTCGGGAATACGGGAAAATTTCGAGGCGCGGCCGCTTGTGACGCTGCTTTGTTATTTAACATAGATGGATTAAAAAAAATGACACAATCATAATTGTGGAATTGATGCAGAAAAAAACGATCAACCCATAAACGACATTCTGAAAAAGTTGGAAGATAAACGAATAGTAACTGCATTATTCTCACTTCTTTCTTAACCGCTGTCTCCTTAGCTTTTAGCAAATTCATAATTCTTGGAGCTAATTGTTTACTCCATTGTATAAAAACAATGAATTTCCATAGCGTACTACTTAGACAATTTCATAAAATGTAATAAAGATGCCTGCACCTTTATGCAGGTAACCATTCGTCAAGATTGAGGTCTTCACATGGGTTCCCGGCTGCCTTTGTTCACGATACTGAACTTCATAAGGGTGCTGACGCTTTTGGGACTTTATATCACGAAAATACCCTTGATGAGTGACTGTTAAGCTTTGCACCGCCACCTTTGCTATTTGCCTTTATATCTTGCACCTTAACGGGCGAATAAAAGCTAGAAAAAAGAATCTTTTTTTAGGTTCTCCCACCGGTTAGGCCAATTACGTCTGCTTTTGCTTGGCTATAACACATTATGTCCTGTTCTAACCCTCCTTCTCCAAAGAAATCAACATACTTTAAAAAAAATCTTTCGATTATTATAAAACAATAAACAAGTTTTGAGAATGCAAAACAATGAGAAATTTATTAAAACTAGATAACACACTGTCTCTATATTCAACAAAAACAGGTTCGGTTACGTAGAATGCATAGTATTACCCTTTCCTTACGTAGAGTTTCTCATAGATTGTAGTACAATTTATTGTTTCACTGGTCGTAATTTATTGATCTTATACAACCAAACATATCGGATTGTGTTATTCGGTGATTTTGGCGACAAAATTTGACCACATTTGGCAGAATTCAAGAAAGTTGTTGGCTTTTAATTCTCGGAAATGGCTTAATTCCTTCAGTAAGAACTAAAATCTGAAATTTTCTGGAATGGCAGAGATAAGGTGATTGCAGGAGAACAGACACTCTATGGATGCGAAATTTTCTTTTCCTCTGTCATTAACGAAAATGCAGCCACAGTCGACATAATATTATGCTATTTTCGGAATACCGCGTGTTTGTTTGCTAATTTCAGAGTTAGTAGATCTCTAAGAAATTAAAAATGAAAACCTTGCACTGATAAAGTGAAACATCTGACAATGAAACAAAATTAATTCCTTTTCAGCATTTTAAATAACTGTACTTCAATTTATTACAGATTTAAAACCTTTAAGATTGTTGCTAACTTTTAATAACAAGTGAAAGTTTTTTACCGACAGGAAGAAATTTTAACGTCTTCAGAACCGCTAAAATTCAAGCTTTCTTTTGCCCTCTTTAAGACTTTTCTTGTTTATACTCTTAACGATTGTTAAATTAATTACGATAAAACTGTTTGACTTCAGAGCTATGTTAAGTAAACAATTAGATGGTTGCTTGCCTTAGTTGTTTGCTGTGAAGATTCATGAGTTTTTTTAATGCAGGGGCTCCGAGTTGTGATTATCTGATCTGACGAGATTTCGACTTAATATGCTTCAAAAGACTACATTTTCTGTAGAATCCTTGCTTCGAGTTCTGAATCGTAATCGTTTTCCGCGTTAGTGGGCTTGATAACCTGATAAGTTGAATGTACATAAAAGAGCTACTGGCAAGTACAAAGTATCTTGTTTTCTGCAGACCAGTGATAGGCAGGTAAAATTATCGACGAAATTATCATATCACAAAATTTACCATCTAAAAGTCAAATTTATGATTTTTTATTAAGTGTTTTCTGAAATTTCTAATTAAAAATATTCATAAATAATACGCTTGTTATCAAGCCGTTATATTAGTAATGTCCAATCAGCAGCTTACAGAGTTTACAAACAGTAACTAATTTTTCGTTAACACTGAGCTTAGAATGAGGTTTGAAATCGCTATTGTTTACATAAATAGTCTATATCTTTCCGGATTCTTGATGATGACCAGAATTCAGATAATTTCTTCTGTCAGAAGGGGCCTTAATATTGTTTTCGTTCTTTGAAATAATTTAACAATATGGGATACCAAATAATGACATGAATTGAAGGGCGTATTTTGAGACATATTTTAAAATATTTTCTATAAATCCATGCTCTATAAAATAATCTTGTTTCATGTCAGTATCTTTGCAAAAATTATGGAATTCACACTACCTTGTTAATGCAAAGAAAAAACAGAAGTTTTCCTGATGATTTAGAAACTAAAATCTATATGTTTTTTAATATTTTAATTGTTTATTACTTATACATTTGTATTCCCTATTATTTTATCGTTATAATTTACTTGTACTTTTATTTCTTTAACAGGATTCTTGGGTGGATCATCTTATGCCTCGCTCATTCACGTGTAACATAGTGTCTTTACAAGTCTAAACTAGAAATTCAGTACAAGTCTAACTAGAAATTCAATAAAAGAAAATGAATCCTAAACATCAGATTTAAAAAGCGCTACTTATACCAGAAAACTAGTGCTCTCATTATCAAGTAAGCTGTGGAGGCATCCATATAGCATTCAAGGTTGTTTGAATCATGCACTTATGGCTCATTTCGTGGCTCATTTTAAATATAATTCCAGTTTTTGAAGTACTTCTTGAAAGTATTTTCTCCTGTCTTCAGACTTTTCATATGGCAGATTAGTTGCTCACTCTGATTTTTCCAAAGCATCACGGCCATTCCCTATACTATGGAGGTGTGCTTTCCAAAATACCGTAGATGACATATGCCGGTACAAGACAAAATGGGAATGTTGTTTCAAGGCTGCCGTTTTACTGAGGCATGCCATTTTTGATTATGTGTAAGTGTAATGAGGAAGGCTACTGATTTAAGGCTATACTATAAATATAGTACGAAGGCTAAGAATGAGTATCTCCGAAACGGTACTAATAGTGGAGTGTTCGCGAACTGCTCTTGTTATTGTCTATGAAAAAAGGAAAGAAAGATGATGAAACCAGTAGTAGATATCAGAGCGTTGAATATCCACGCCAGATCAATGGAAGGTCAAAGACAATCCTGCAAGTCAAACAAGTGGTTGCCGGTGGATCAACTGACAGCTATATAGGGTGCAGATCTAAGCACAGCTGTAGCTGAGCCCATAGTTCCTCGACCTCTATTCGGTATGGAACTCCGCAGCAGACGCCCCTCTCGTGGGCCTCTGCTAGGCCAGCATCATAGACATTTACGACTACAGTGAATCAGGTCAGGTTGAAATACAATAAATACCCAATTTTTTAACTATAAGCAGTAAAGGGGGTGTCTAGGACTTTTCGCCGTCTTCATTTCAGCGTGGCCGTTTCGCCGTTGGAACCTTTTGCCGCCAGAACGTTTTCGCCGTCGGAACGATTCGCCATAGTTTTCTTTACATAACTGTATTATATATTGCCGTATTATACTCGTATTAAATTTATTTAATTTAATAATTCTGTTTACCTTTTGTATACGTAATAAAAGACTGCTTATAAAAACCTTCCAAATAAATTCTTTTCCGGGGGAAAAATCATTAATTCTAGATAATATTTTAGTAATTATAGAAGATATTTTTGATAATATTTTAGTAATTATAGAAGATGTGTTTGCAAAATTGCAAAAGGTTTTATTTTCTTTAAAATTTAACAACTTAATATAACCGTCAAGGTATAATACAGTCATGTAAAGAAAAATGTGCAGTGACGGCGAAATGTCAGTCTGTGAAACGGTCACGTTGAAACGGCTACGGCGAAACGGCCACAGCGAATTGTTCCATTCGCGTATGGGGATAGTCCAACATCACTAACGACTTAGACAGCAACACACCAGAAAACTCTACAAGAGACACCTGGTTACTTTGAAAATGTTTTGCATTTGATGCTTTTCACACTTACAAAAATTTAGAACACCTGTTCCTTTCGTACTTCCCAAGATTTTGAAGAGTTGAACGGTTAGTGCCCTTTGCAAGTATGAAAATTTACACTTACAAATCTCCAACAATTCACGCGAAATTTGAATATAATACTTATTTGTTACAATACGTTTGGGCATAATATCCATTGCTTACTAGTTCGTTTTTGCAAGGCTTGTTTATACAAAAATTCTTTTAAACTTCTTTTATTCAAAGGAAAGTTATAGTGAATATCGTGATTGGAGCATGCAACAATGGAAAATAGCTATTCATTAGTATGAATCGACATTTTTTGCATCAAGTAGATTCTACACGAGTGATCACGTCTTTCACACGAATGACTGAATGACAAAGTTACTTTGAAACATAAATAAGTCGTTGGAAAAGATCTTGTGCTTCTGGGGATGTTCTCAGTGGCAACCTTTTACAAGCGGTCGTTTTGGGCACTATGATAGATGCTAACTATGTTAGCATTATTACTGATCAGTTACACACTTTCTTATAGTTTCTGTCTTCCCCATCACAAACTGATTTTTTCAACAGGGCACCGCTTTTTGTAACAAAATCGAACCAGCTCAGTGATCATCAAACACCTCTTCATAATCGATGAAAACTGCATGGCAGTTGAGGGTTTATGTGCCAAAGATGAAGCAATATGATATTAGGAAAATGGTCATAATGCTGTGCTTATGGTGTAGCTGCATTCTTTCTGTTCGGTGCTTTTGTATATTTATTATTTCCTATTACACTGTTGTTTTTCTCATTATTTATCGATATTGTATTGAAACTACATTCATGATATACAAAATGCTATAATATATTTCTAGTGAATATGAACATTTCAAGTGCATATCCTCTTTCCTGTGCACGTTTATGAATGCATGTAAATATATTTTTGAATTGCACATAATTAGTATCCAAAATTGCAGGCATATTTTTGCAATAACTGAAAATACTACCACTAATATTTAAAAATGTGATGTCATATATAATTCGCTAAATGTAATGTCGCATATCTTACAAAAAAGTAGAAGTAATCTGAAATTCTTAATCTGAAATTCGATCACGGTATTCAATCATTTCTTGCAAGCAGAATTGTAAGAATGGCTTATTTCACTTAAAATAAGTTCTCGCAATCGTTTAAATGACGGAATGAGATAGAGAACCAACATTAGGCATGACGCTGATGAGTCTCAAGCGAAAGTAACTGTTTTCATGAGTGTTTTGAATTCTTATATCCAGGTTAGAGCAAAAATTTCAAACTACGGGTGCCATCATTAGAATTCTCTCTAAAGCCATCCAGGAGCAACTACAGTTGCGGAGGGTCGATACGGAGCATTAAACTTATGATGCCCTAAAGAAATGACTAGATCCTTAAAGCCTCGCTGTTGAGTCTGAAACAAGAATTTCTATGCTAACCGTACACAGACTTCGAGCAGAGAAAGCCCTTTATGCGCGGCAACCAGCGATTTCCACAGCAAATCGCAGAAATGATTGCCCGTCTTTTCTGGATTCACACACAGCATTCTTGGGCACAAGTCTAGGGCCATATCCTCTTCAATTAGGAACTGAAATTTAATGCACAAGAGGATTTTAGACATTTCTTCATGTGGAGAGATGCTTAACCCCATTATCGTTTCTTCGAGATAAAGGAAATTAACCATTGTGAAAACAAAATCCTTGCGTGGGGAGGCACCATGTTCGACGATCGTACACCTAACAGCGATATAGGGATGAATTTTAAGCGAGGCTCTTCAGGTCGCTGTTTGAGGGAACTTTGCTTTTATGAAGGATAATACAAGGTCACTCAGAGATCAATAGCTAAACGATTTTTCTGGAGGAGAAGTGTATTCGTTAATTTTGTGCAAAGTCATTGGTTTTGAATCCTATAAAGCATGTCTGCCAATATCTAGGAAGAACCATTGCTTGACCTCAACACTCTTCCAGGACACTTCAGCTACTAAAATCCTTGCTTTTAAAAGAATGAGATTTTTTGCCAGAATCTATGATCAACAACCTCATTTACAGTTGGGGGGGGGCGTTGTAAGGCATGTAAAGCTATTCGGGATGCTACTTTGTATATTAGCGCGGCTATTCTGGAAATACGAGTTGTTACATTTTGACAATTTTTGGTTTCATTTATGTACCTCAAAACATTTAATTTTCTTTGTTTTTGTTATGTTACTACTGGTTGTTGATAATAATGTAGCATGTAAATTTTAGACATCTGTGAACAAAATTTCATAGCAATAAACCAATTATTTTTGACATATCACACGCTTTGTGTTTGTCACTTCTTTTTTGAACACTAGTGTGCTTTGCATTTATCATAATACTCACTATCTTATAATTTTCAGAAACAAAGTAATGATAACAATAATTGAATGTTAAAAAGACGTCCCCTTTTCTTTTCGACCATCTATTCATTAGATTATTTAACAAAATTCATTAGATTATTTAACAAAAAAGAAACAGTTTTTCACAGACGATTGAGTATTTCTCATTTAATTAATTCAGTTCTTACTTCGCGAGAAGGCAAAAATACATAAAAACTCAAAATATCTATATTAAAAATTACCAAGTAAATCTCAAACGCTTATTTCCTCGAAAAAATTCCAGAAAGAATTAAGCATGATTTAATTGGCAATAATAAATGAATGCATTATCTTTGTTGTTGCGAAGCTAAGTTTCTCTAGATTGGCAACAAATCCACTAGTCTCCTGTTTCAAATGTAAACATCAATGGCCGCCATTAAAAACAGGCTTAGCGGCAATTAAACAACTTTAAAATTGCTGATAATTCTAAAAACATTGCACACAGATTTACTAAAGGCATAAAATCTTTAACCGGAAGATAAAAACAACATTTTTAAAGCAAAAAATGTACAATTTACAAACATTGTATATTTAGTAAATAATGATCTGGTAATTGTACTCTTTTGCTGTCCAGAAAACTCGAGAAAATACCAGAATGTTCTCGCGCATGATTAAAAAGCTTATAAAAGCCGGAGTGAAACATCTCAGTTGTTAAGACACAATTCAAAATTCAAATAACAAAAAACAGCGTTATATTTACAAATTTTTACAGTCAAAAAATTTTCTCAATTGTTGTTCAAATAACTGTTGCTGTTTACTGTAGCAAATTCACGGTGAGATGGGATTGGCTTCCTCTGTAATTTGAATTGTGTTATATTCAACGTTTTAGTAGTTAAAATATAACTACTGTGTGATACTGTTTGAATATACTGTGATATTGTACGAATATCTGAGAGGAAACATTTCAGCATTTTGTTTTACCTTTTGGAATAAGAATAAATTTTAGTAACTTTTCACCAGATTTATGCATTCAATCGATTACGAACCCGTACGCACGCAACAACTTTTGGTGTCAGAAGTGGGATTTGAATACCAATCACAAGAACGGCTGAAGAAAAAATGAAGCACTGCATTTGCTGCTTTCCAAGAAAAGATGGAACTTTCTAGTGGAGTGATGTAAGCTGGCCAAGTAACTT